TACTGCATGACGAAGGCGCTGAAGCAGGAATAGTTCAGCGCCCGCGAATGCGGCGCGCGCGTATTCTTCACGTTGTAAATCCTGCGCTCCATGCGCTCTGCGGCTAAAAAAGCCGCATTAACGCCCGAAGTTAAGCGCGTTCGTCATGCAGCGGCCTGTACTTTTTCTGTGCTGAAAAAGAATAACTTACGGTTGATCCGTCATACATAGTACATTGAACTGGTATTTGGGATCTCCATAATAATCGTAATCGCAGATGTAGGTCGCGCAACCAATTTCTGTAGTTGTCGCGCGCAACAGCTAAACCAGTCTCTTTTTTATATAACGTCAAAAACAAAGGGAACCAACGTTGACGAGATTGATATCCTCTGTAAAAGAGGCGTTGTAGTAGAGTGATGTGCTGTCATTGTAAGGGTTATACGTTTCTGCTGCTCTGAAGGGCGTGCTGGTTGTGAGGTTGAATGCATCATCGCCAGGAACATCATCGTTGGGGCCGTCCCTATAAGTTTTCATTGTTACATTGTCCTACGTGGGTTTATGAAGTAGAAGAAGATTCGTGAATCAGATTCTCTCGCTTGTTTTCCTTGAGAAAAAGATGGAACTCGAAGTCTAGAGATTACTCTCAACATTTTCGTTATTGAATCCTTCTTTCTTTCTTGTATACTGACTAAGAGCACCTACCATAAGTAGATCCAGCTGTGACTACTTCCTTCTGCCCTTGTGGCCATGTCCTTAGACAGGATTGGGCACGTAGCAGCATCAGTAAATACGCCCTTGGCTTCTTCCTCTAGTTCGCAGCTCCAACTCTGGAAATAACTTACTATCTTACTTTACAGTTTATTCAATCAGGCGAAAATTTGCATGGCAGGAGTCTGTGTCGCGAGGGTATTCACTAAAATCGGACTTTTTTGTCTCTTCACCTCTATTCTAGCAAGCTTTGGTTCGTTAGTTTTCCTTCATTGAAAACTTCCAATTCAAATTATTCTTCTCGGCACATTCAAATTCGATGGTTATGTTATATTTGAGACGTTTGTATTTGCTATTAGGTAAAAAAATAAATGAACTTATGGATTTGACAAGACGTTTGCATCACATCACGGTTGAATGATATCAAGAATTGCAGAAAATCTACAATGTCAAAGCTCCTCTCTACAGTTTTAAGTCAGTAAGAAATATTCAAACAGGCATACTTGCAAGGATCTTCGAGACATTGCTTTCAAACTAACCAATTTATTCATGCCTTTAGCAGGGGGTAGTAGTGTACCGTCTGCCTCAAATGTTCCATTGGCGACACTTGTGCGCATTTCATTCACCTTGGCAAGAAATGATTGAGCTTGTGCTTCTTGGATGCTATCATAACAAGCTCCGCCTGCAACGCAGAATTCCGAAAAACACATATGGCATAATCGAATCAACTTCATAACTGCTACTACGCCACTATTCCAAGCGAAACTTACCCACACTGGGTACAGCCAGCAGCAATGCTATCTGAAGAAAAGTAAATTATATTCTAACAAAATTCTAAGCCACATATACCGTAAATAG